TTGAGTCCACCCTCATAATCTTCCCTGGCAACTGTTGCTAGGAAGATGCTGCCTCTCGAGCTGACCTTCCAAAGATTTGAGATCACAGCTGGTTGTTTCCCAGCTGCTCATGAGGAGATCAGATTTGCCCAGCCAGAGTGATGGAGAAACATGCAAACAGCACAAATAGCAACAACACATATAGGATGCTGGGGACGATATATAAGACTTGGTGATCAGGAGATGTTTGATTATTGCTTTCCATTCCTGGAGGTTTGGGAGGGAAAAAAAAAGACCATTACTAATCTCTGCATTGCATTTTCTTGTTATAACTGATGGAGACACTGCCAGGGAACTTGCTATTTTGACCCCTTTCATTAAACCTGTTGGCAGAACTCATGGCTTTCAGGCAGGCAGTGTCCACGTTTCACTGCTTCGGCTTTGGCTGTTCTGTTCTTTTGATATCGCTGAATAGTGATAATGATTATGAAAATGATAATGATAGCTACCGTTCGTTGATACTTGCTTTGTTCCTGCCATTGTCCTAAGTGCTTTTCATGAATTGCCTCGTTTAATCCCCACGGCAACCCTATGAGGGAGATATCACAAACTCCCCTATTGTACTAATGAAGAAACTGAGCAGAGAGAGATTAAATCTCTTGTCTAGTCCCACTTAGCCAGTGTGCACCAGAGTAGGATTTGATCTTGAGTCTGAGTGGCCCCTAAGCCCTCCACTCGTACCTCCTTTGTGTGCTATGTTTTATCCACTGATTTTGATCATTTGCTTTTGTCCTGGCAGTGGCAGTGCATGCAGTAAGATCCATCCATCCATCCATCCATCCATGCATTCTTCACCACATGTGACCCAAACATGTGCTTGCTGCCAAGCTCACTGGGAACTTGGGTGAGTGAGACCCATGCCCTTTCCCAGGGAGCTGAGGGTCCGGTTCTGTGCAGAATTGAGCTTTCATTCTTTGAACCTGTTGGGTCTATGAAGGTGGGGCTATGGGGTGTGGAGAGTGACTGGGTGCACTCCACAGACTGTGGCGAGATGTTTGGCCACACAGGTGCTCATGAGACACTGGTTGATTTTTTTATCTTCCATCCTCAACTAGGGCTCCCATCCTAGGATGCTGACAGGCTTAAGGAAAGGGGCCAAAATAGCAATTTCCCTGGTAGTGCCTCCATCACTATTAAAGCAAGAAAGTGCAATGCAGAGATTTGCAATGTTTTTTGTTTTTTTTCTCCCAAACCTCCAGGGATGGAAGGCAGTAATCAAACCTCTCCTATCACCATGTCTTGTATATCATCGCTGGCATCCTATGTCAAGGGGCAGAACAAAAGTCACGCTGACAAAAGTCAGCAGCCAACATTGGGGTCAAGCATTGCACTTCGTCTCATTTAATCTGCAGAACGATGTGGACTTGGTAGAATAGGCTCAGGAGGAAGATCACTGTTCCAAAGGGTCAGACTGGCAGAAGCGCCTACCTCTGCAGTACCTGCTGTCCCCTCTTTACACTCTGCTTGGGTTCAGTTAGGCCTTCAACCCAGGCTGCCGATTCTTCTTTCCTTCCTTCCTTCCTTCCTTCCTTCCTTCCTTCCTTCCTTCCTCCCTCCCTCCCTCCCTCCATCCCTCCCTCCCTCCCTCTCTCTCTCTCTCCTCTTTCTTTCTTGTTAATTGAGATAGAATTCATATACCATAAAATTGCCCTTGTAATGGCTACAATTCATTGGTTTTAGTATATTCCCAAGACAGTGTAAACATCGTTATCATCTAATTCCAGAATATTTTCATCACCCCAAAAAGCAACCCCATCAGCATTAGCAGTCACTCTCCATTCCCCCACCTCCAGCTCCTGCCAACCACAAATCCTTCTGTTCCTACTGGTTTTTCTACTCTGGACATTTCACATAAATGAATTACACAGGATGTGACCTTTTGTGTCTGACATCTTTCAGTTAGAATATTTTTAAGGTTCATCCATGTTGTATCATGTGTCAGTACTTCATTCTCTTTTCATTGCCAAATTATATTCCTTCAGATGGAGATATATATATACATATATATATATATATATATATACACCACATTTTGTTTATCTGTTCACCAGTTGATGGACATTTGGGTTGTTTTCTCTTTTTGGCTATTGTGAAGAATGCTGCTATGAACATTGGTGAACAAATTCCTGTGTGAACATATGGTTTCAATTCTCTTGGTTATATACCTAAGAATGGGATTGCTGTGTCATATGGTAACTCTATGTTTAAGTTTTTGAGGTACTGCCAAACATTTTTCCAAAGTGGCCATACCATTTTATATTCCCAACAGCAGGGAATGAGGGTACCAAAGTCCCCACATTCTCTTTAATACTTGTTATTGTCCATCTTTTTGATCATTGCCATCCTAATGGGTACGAAGTGGTATCTCATTGTGGTTTTGTTTTCCATTTACCTAATGTCTAGTGATGTTGAGCATCTTTTCATGTGATCACTTAGGCTGCTGCCTCTGACTTCCACTTGTTTCTGTTCAAGAGGCTTTGGGTCTAATAGAAGAGAAGTCGAAAACTCAGGTGGTTGTGGTAGAACCTCTGCCTGCAGACAGGAAACTACTTGATTAGACTGAGCAGAGGGCAACGAGTCAGGTGCTGGGAGATGCCTTTCTAGGTCTTCACTGAAGGTGCCCATGGGATAGCTCCCGTGACTTCAGGCTTCCCTTTGCCCACAGGCTCAGCACTAGAGGGTAATGCTCCGTCAACTTCCCCATCGGGGTCTCTGTCTCCACTTACACCCACACTGGACCCAGAGAAGTGCCAGAAGCCAGGCTGGCTCTTTGGATTGAGCAGGGCTGAGCTGCCCAATCCTGTGGTCCAGGCAGTGGTGCTTGTGTTTCTTTCTTTCTTTTTTCCTTTGTATGGATATTAATAACTTTAACACATTTTTATTTTAAAATTTATATATAGTACAATTCACTTTTTTGGTGTATAGCTTTATGAATTTTAACCAATACCACAATGAAGATTAAGAATAGTTCTACAACACCCCAAAATATCCTTCATGCTGCCCCTTTGTAGCCAGTGCCTGCTCCCTACACCCAGCACCTGGCAACCATTTCTCTGTCTCTATAATTTTGCCTTTTCTACCGTATAATATAAATGGTGTTCTACAATATGTAAACTTTTGGATCTATTTTTACTTAGAAAATACATTTGAAATTCATCCATGTTGTATTTTTCAAGAGTTCCATTCCTTCTTATCGCTGAGAAGTAGTTTATTGTATGGATGTACCACACTTTGCTGGTCCATTCTCCAGGGAAAGGACATTTGGGTTGTTTCTAGTTTTTGGTGAGTACAAATAAAGGTGCTATAAACATTCAGGTATAGGTTTTTCTGTGAACATAGGTTTTTACTTCACTTGGGTAAATATCTGGGAGCAAGATTGTTGCATCATATGGTAAATATGTTTAATTTATAAGGAACCTTTCCAAAATGACTGTACCATTTTGCATTCCCACCAACTGTGTATGAGAATTCCGGTGGCTTCTTTTACTTCCCAATGCTTGGTATTGTCAGTTTTAAATTTTAAAAAGTTTAATTTAAGCCATCCTAATAGGTAAGAGATGATATCTGTGGTTTTAATTTGCATTTCCCTAATGGCTAATGATGTTGGCTATCTTTTCATATGCTTATTTGCTATCCATAAGTCTTCTTCAGTGAAGTGTCGGTTTAAATTTTTCGCTCATTAAAAAAGTTGCACTGTTTATTTTCTTATTATCGAGTTTTGAGAGTGTTAAAAAACTATATATTCTGGATAGGAGTCAGATATGTGATGTGCAAATATTTTCTCCCAGTCTGTGGCTTTGGAGTGACATGTGTTATTTCCACTTGAGACCCATTGGCTAGAATTAGTCAGGTGGTCCCATGCAATCCCCAGGGGGCCAAGAAATGCAGCTCCACCCAGTGGCTGGAAAGACAGAGAGCTGGAGATATCTGGTGAACAGCAGGGATGACCATCCCACACACTGCTCTTACTATTTCAGAGCCTGCTTAACAATAGTTCATGAACATTCTTCCATGTTAGCCAGCATTCCTTTACAGTATAGGGGCCAGCAAATGCAGACAATGGCCAGTTTTGGCCTCCTGTCTGTTTATCTTCAGCCTGAAAACTAAAAGTGTGCTTGTTACAGATGAATATTTGAAATCAATTTGATGATAAGGAACACTGTCTTTGAACCCCAATTCAGCAAATGTTATTAGTTCAAAAAGAATTAGATTATTCTCACTCATTGGCCTGTATTACAAAAAAAAAAAAATTCAATCATTAATGCATTTTGAATTTGTCAATAAAAAATTTGTGGAAATTTGTTTTCTCTCATTATTATGAGTGCTATGCAATATCCTTGATTTTTGCCCCTTGGCCCACAAAGCCTAAAATAGTTACCTTCTGGCACTTGATAGAAAATGTTTGCTGAATCTTATTAGAACGGTTTTTCAGAGCTGCATGGAATTCCATAATGCTCTATATATGGGCCTATTGTAACATTCATACATTCATATTGTTCAACTGCATTGTTTCTAGATTTTTCCTAGTTAAACAATGCAGCAATATGGATCCTTGTATACATGTCACAAAGATAAGCACTGATTATTTCCTTAGAATAGGTTCTTAGAAGTGGAACTGCTGAGTGAAAGGGTGGGTACATTTTGCAGGGTTTGACTCAACAGTTGTAAGTAATCTTCCAGAAAGCTGCCATTTCACATTCCCTCATCCAGTGGAAATATGTGCTTATTTACTTTACTGTCCTTTTTCCAAGACTGTTTGTTTAACTCTATAACATCAGTAGTGATTTGATTGGGGATAAAATGGTTCCTTATTGTCATTTTAATTTGCTTTTTAAAAATTATGGATGAAGCAACACATACTTTTGTATGTTTTTAAGCCATTTGCACCTCTTCTTTTGTAACTGACTTCTTCAAGTCCTTTATCTAGTGTTCTGTGGAATAATTTTTAATTCTTTTTTCAGCACCCCGCAGTGCCCTGGACAAGTAGCTGAAAAGTTATTTGCAAGGCTGAATTAAACCCAGTGCAGCCATTCTTCAGGGGAGCCATCCAGCTACATTCTCAGACTCAAGGCAGATTGAGTCACCTTCTTCCGCTGTGTTAATCTGTACTGTGATTTTAAAAGAGACTCTCCTCTTCAGTCGGTGGACGGACATCTCCTGCTTTGCAGGAAGACACAGTCCCATTGGCCTCATTAGCCAAGGCTTGGGATTCAAGGTACGAACATACAGCTAAGAACGTTCGTACTTCCAGATGTGTTACAAAAAAGTCTTCTGGTTCGGGATTCATGAGAATTTCTTGGCTGCCAACCAGACCCAACTTCTAACAGTGGCAGATGCGTGGTGGAATGTGGGGAGGATTCTGAGAGCACCACGTGGCTATGAGAAGCTTAGGGTGTTTTTCCTATGTGTTAGAAATGCAATCAAACCAATGTTTTCAGAAGTGGTGAGCTACAGATGGGGGTTAGGGCAGGTGTCCTCTTGCGTCGCTGAAGATCCTGAAGTTCTCTCAGGAGGCAGAGATCATTAGTGGGGTGAAGGAGAAAGCCAAGTGTCTAGACCTAGCCTGGCCCAGCCGTAGCCAGACCACCCTGTTAGTGGGAAAGCCAGGATCACTGAAGCATCTCTTTTGCAGGTTCTGATCCTTGGGAGACCCAAGATTCATTTCCTTTGATGCTCATGGTGTTTAAGGCCATGCGTGGGTAGAAGAAGACTTTTTCTAACCTGTATCCTTGACACCACTGATTTTTGGACTTCATTTTAACAAATTTCCAGGCAAAACGTCCACCTTTATTTTGGGTTATCTCTCCATCGATAGAGTTGTCACCTGCAATGCTGGAACGCTGAGAGAATGGATTCCAAATGAGCCCTTGACACCAATTAGCAGCTTCATTTCAATTTCCTCGGGTTCGGAGATGTGGAAATATAAGGAAATAAAGCACAGTCTTTGCTTTTAAGGATCTCGCTGTGAAGTGGAGGGAACACAGCTTAACCAATGATTCTAGTACAGTGGGAGAGGAGTCTAGACATGTATGCCCAAGTTGTTCTGCGACCATTTGGAGGGAATGGGAGTGGAGGATGGTGGTCGGAGAAGGCTTCCCAGAAAAGGAAAACTTGAGTTGAGTTTTGAGAAAAAAAAAAAAAAAAAAAGTAACCAGCCAAGGCAATGGAAATTGCAGGTAGAGGGAAGAGTGGGTGGGTGAATGTAGGCGTTCAGTTACCCAGCAATCAGCTAACCCAAATATTTCTCAAATTAGGACATACCAGGCATTGATCTTCATGCTATGTTACAATAATATTCTCTAAGTGAGTCTCAGTTGAAAGTTTTGGTGTTACTCAACTTAACTCTCTCCACCTTACCCCTTACAAATTTCCAGGCTGGTGGGAATGGAACTGTCAGAAAGGGGCTTAGTAGATTAAAAAAAAAAATCACTCCATTCCTTGTTTTCCTGGAAAGTTCCCCAGGAATACGCTGCCAAGTCCAGGAAGATACACATGTATGCAAAATATTTGCTGACCTCCATCCTCAATGCACCAGAGGCTTCTGTTAATAACACTCATCCCAGATCACAGTTCAGTGCAATTCAGCCCTGACCCCCATGCAAGAGAGTTGACCACTGACCTCATTACAATTTAGATTTTCGGGAAGGGGCTTGAAAACAGAATGAGATAATGCCCTGGGACAGTTGGGAGCCACAGCCCTGCACTGAGGGATGAAAGTTGGGTTGTTCTAGAAAGACGTTCAAATGATTAGAAGGATAAAAAAGGCTCATCTTTGCAGAGCTCTTCACAGTTTAAAAACCAACCCCTTCACCCTGATAGAGACCAGTTTCAAGTTTATCTCCAATTTGCAATGCGGGAACTGAGGCCTGGGGGAGACTGAATGATTAGTTACTAAAGGGCCAGGACCTGAACCTAGGCCTCTGGTTCTGGGTCTGATGTTTCCTCCCTTTTATTAACCTTATTGAAACCTCCAGAGACAACATGTTTTCTGTAAACCTTGCTGGGACAGCGACTCTTCCATCTCTCAAGAACCTTCATCTCACTTTACGGTAAAATGCCTTCTGAGGCAATAGTGTCTTAAAATTTGTTACTTATTTCTTGATCCTTCTCTTCTAAATCCAATTTGGTTTTGCAATTCTGAGGCTCACCTAGGTTTTTAGAGCTTGTTCTCTGAATGTTGAGGAATTTCCTCACGGTAACTTTGGGACAAGGCAGGAGGAAGTTCTTACTTGTATTGAGGGGAAAACATCTGTATTTTGGGGGTTCACTTTGTGTTTCCCTAGTGCAAGATCTCATGCACAACAAACACCAAGAAATAGGTCTTCAGAGTAGATAGGGAGATGGGGAGAAAAGTAGGGGGAGCTGGTAAAAAAGCCACACTGTGCTTGGAAGGATAAGCACTTAGGAAGCAGGAAATGGCAAGCACAGGGATGAGAGAGAGAGAGAGAGAGAGAGAGAGCGTCTTTATTCACGATGGCCCTCCCAGGGCCCAGCCCCGAGCCTGGCTCAGTACTCACCAAGGTGAAAGCCCCTTAGGGAGAAGCGAGTCTGAAAGCAGGAAGGCTCAGTCATGGACGCGCCCGGTAGTCCTAAAGTGCAAGTGGGTTGTAAAAACTAGAGCGACGACCAGGCAGATTCCACCACAATGACCTCCCCCACCACCATCTTCACCACCTCTCCCATGCTCCCCTGCGCTACCAATGCATTACCTCCATCACCATTGATGGGGCCCTTGTGACGTGCCTAGCACCACGCTAAAGGCTTTACGTGGGTTTAATCCTCACAACACTCCTCCACAGTAGGAATCGTTGGTCCTGTTTTCAGTGGAGGGGACTGAGGCTCAGGGCAGTGAAGTCATTTGCACAAGATCACACCCTAGAAAGCTGTAGAGTCAGGATTTCACCCCCGGCTCTGTGTGCTTCTGATGGGCAAGGTGGAGTGGTCCAGAAGGCTGCCCCACTGGGCACGAGGCGTGTGCGGGGGGCTGGTTTTATGCACAACTGGATCTGAGAGGCTTCTGTGGGCTGTGACCAGGTCCACCAATCTGTTCTTCCTTCCTTTTTCTAGTTTCCTTTCACACATTCTGGATCCTATGGTCTTTCAGGTCAGAGCAAATAAAAATGCTTTATGTCCCTTCTTTTCTAAGCTTTGCATGTTACTGTTTGCACGCTGTTCTGGAAACAGACGGAGGCTGATAGAAATCCCAGATGATAACTCAGACATGAAAGCTCTGTGAAAACACCCACGTAGCATAAATACCTCTGAGCATATGAGAGACAGAGAGGAGAAAGACAGACAGAAACAGCGAGAGAGAAAGACAGAGAGAGAGAGACAGAAAGAGAGAGGCACAGAGACAGAGAGAGAAACAGAGACACATAGAGAGACAGAAACTCAGAAAGAGTGATATATAGAGAGAGACACACACAGAAAGAGACAGAGAGAGAGAGGGACAGAGACACAGAGAAAGACAGACTGAGAGAAAGAGAGACACAAAGAGAGACAGAGAGAGACAGAGAGAGAACACCTCATGACACCATTCACTGTTCATGCTTTTGGGCCTAGTTGTGCTGGGACCACCCCTGGGCCTTCGGGTCACCTGAGCCAATGACTTCTGAATAGTTTCTGTTCCTTGCAGTGGAAAGAATATGATGAACAAATGTAAAGCACTTAGCTGGGTGTTGGGCCCCGAGTAAGTGCTTGAAGGATAGCTATTCTCTTCATGAACAAGAACATCTCTTTGCCAGTCGTGACTCTGCCCAATGTCCCTGCAGTTCTCCAGCCTGTTTCACGCTCAGGAGCGAGGGGGGCAGGTGCTGCCAGCCTCTCCCTCCCGCTGGGCCTTCTCCGTGCCTGGATGGGATGTGTCTCCTTCCTGAAGAGTCCCTGGCTGGAGGTCAGAGTCAGGTGCGAACACAACACTTTGAAGTTTGTTGCCAGGTACACAATGTGAATTCAGGGACCTTATGGCGTGGGTGGAAAGCATCCTGGAAACCGCTATTTCAAAAGTAAAGCCCCCCTGCATTTAAAGGGAGATTCAGAGCACGGTGTTCCAGCGAAATGGGAGCTTGATTAGGGTTCTGACCCGTGATCAATCATCTGGAAAAAGGCTTTACGGGGGCATGTTTGGCCTGAGAGGGAGGAGTTGAGCTGCCTTCTATTCTGGAGGCATAGAATCTGTTGAGGTTGCTGTGTGGAGACCTCGCTGCGGACTCTGCAGCGGAGGAGGAATTGGAGGCAGAGACGCGTTGTCTGTCGTCCTCACTCTGCCTTTTCTTTCAGGACACTTCCCTCCTGATCTTTTTTGTTTTTTTTTTTTTGCGGTACGCGGGCCTCTCACTGTTGTGGCCTCTCCCGTTGCGGAGCACAGGCTCCAGACGCGCAGGCTCAGCGGCCATGGCTCACGGGCCCAGCCGCTCCTGGCATGTGGGATCTTGATTGTTAATTCTATTGTTTTTATTTGGCGTTATTTTCCAGAGGTGGAGACAATCACCAGCAACTGGTGGATATAATGCAAGTGGCTCTTCTATATGATCTTGACCTCTGTGACCTTGGCCAAGTTCTCTGGAGCCTGAATACCTTTATCAATAAAATTGGGAAATAGTAATATCATTTCCTCCTGCTTATGACCATTTACTATCAGAGCTCAAAGTCAGGCTGCAAAGCTGGGTTACAAACAGGATGTCACCGACTAGTGAACAAGCTGTAGGAAAGGATCCAATCCTCTACAGGGCTGCTCTCAGTGTGGGGACATCATAAGCTTTTTTTTTTTGACTATTTGATTTTTTTATACAGCAGGTACTTATTAGTTATCTATTGTATACATATTAGTATATATATATCAATCCCAATCTCCTAATTCATCCCCCTCCCCCTTCCCCTCCTTGGTGTCCATACGTTTGTTCTCTACATCTGTGTCTCTATTTCTGGGGGGCGTCATAAGCTTTTAAACATTTATTTTACTTCGTTTGTACTTTGTAGATTTTCCATAATAGCAACCTAAATTTCCCATAAAGTGTTACCTTTATAATTGGGAAGATTTAATGAAAATTCAAATTTGGGTCTGCAGTTTATTTCCCAGTCTCCTTCTGCTGCCCACCAGCCTCCTTCCCAGGCAACCTTCCCCGGCCCCTCCAAGCCTGGCTAGTTCTGGCTCGGGCTCACTTGAGGGAGGCCCTGCTGGGGTGGACAGACAGCATGTAGAGAGGATCCAGAGGG